CCAGGCTACGCAGCGGTCGTCACAGGGTTACACCTTCAGCCTTGGTTCTGGTTCAGTTTCCTGGCGTTCTACACGTTCGTCGTCAGTTCTCGGCTCCAGCTGTGAGGCTGAGATCTACGCCACAGCCATGGCTGCGCAGGAGCTACGCTGGATCACCTACCTGCTGACCGACTTGGGAGAGCGGCCTCGTTCTCCTCCAGTTCTGTACGTCGATAACAAGGCCGCCATTGCCTTGTGTTAGGAGCACAGACTGGAGCACAGAACGAAGCACATCGCTCTGCGTTACTTCCTTGCTCGAGAGCTGCAGCAGCGTGGCCAGCTTCGCCTTGCTTACGTGGCCACTCGGGCCAACACTGATGATATATTCACCAAGGCGCTTCCGCCTGGTGATCAACAGCGTTGCTGCAACTTGTTAGGCCTAGTGGCCACAATTCCTCACTTGTTGTAGGCTTTGTTTGTACTGTGAACTATATATATATCTCTGCATATGAACTGTCCTTGTGGTCTTTTGCTTGTGCTCAGACTGCGTGGTAACGTTGTGATCCACCCTGAGCTGTGTTTTGTTTCTTCTCGTGACTGGTCTTGTGACCGTTGCTTACTTTCACTATCCTCCATTTCGCCTATGGGGGTGTGTTAAATTATATATATATGCTTGTTTAGGTTTTCTAGGCTGTATGGGGGTTAGCACTAGGGGGTACACAAACTTTGTCGATACCCTACTCTTGTACCCTAGCCTTTACCTAATTCACTCATTCTTGCCTTAGGTTCCTAACAGTCTAGTGTAAATTGTATTACCAGCGTTAAAGACATAATTTGACAAACAAAGCAATCCATAACAACCTGTACAAAGATTCTAGAGCTTAGACCTCCTAACCAAGCCTAACCTATCAGGCGGAACCTCAATATGTCACGCATGAAACGAACTTTTGGGACATAACCCCTTTCATGCCTCCACCACCACAGGTGACAGGCCTGCTTTATATCCTCCCCAGCTGACCCATTGATGCAGCTCCTATGGACCACCTCCTAGGGGAAGGCAGCCGCTGCATGACTCCTTTGGTGAAGAGGAAGAGGGCCAGCAAGTGCCAGCAAGCCCAGAAGTGCTGCTAGCTTGGAACCAGCTTCAAGGTGGCAGATTTATCTGGCCGGCTTCAAGAAGGCCAGTTTCCAGCCCTCAGGCTTGGTGCACACCAATCAAATGCCATGCCTTGCAATGCCTGTCACCTGCACCTTGCGGTGTCACCACCTCTCAGCTTCACCACCACCCATCTCCTAAGCCTCAGCAAATTCCCTTTACATGATCATTTTGGATGAAGCGCCAGAGATTCAACGCCCGAGATGTCGAGGACCCCAATTTCCAGCTGCATGTGGACTCCCGGCCCATGCAATCCAGCCCAAATCGCCCAGCCAGCGAGCTCAACCCAGGAGTCCAGCCCAGGAGCCGAGGCCAGGAACTGAGGCTATGCAGGATCTGCGGGTGTGTTACACCAAGGGTGGTTACACAATGGGCACGTTGACCGCGTTGACCGCGTCCGAGTCAGCCTGCATGAGCGTCCACGACGCGTCGGCGTCCTGCTTGGCCTCCAGCGCCGTGTGCCCCGACGCGAGCGTCATTCGGTTGCTCGCCTCCGCGCGCACCTGCCCCGCCGACCGCTGCTGCGTATCCGCCACCAGCTCGCGCAGCGCGCCCAGCGCCACGTCGTACCCGCGCATCACGTTCCGGATGGTGTGGTTGAGCACGCGCGCGACCCACACGCGGAAGAGCAGCTCCTCCCAGTCCGCGTCGCCCTTCTCGAAGTGGTCGAGGAAGCGAATGTACGCCGCCACCCACGCCTCCTCGTCGCAGAACGACCACGTCGGCCACTCCGTCGCCATTATCAACCCCTGCACGCGAAGCCACGTGGTACGAGGACAGGAAGAATTAGACGACAGTCTGTTAGAAAAAGAAACAATTGCGACGGGTGGACACGCAAACCGGTGACCACACCAACAGAAATAAGAATCCATCTCGATAAAAGTAAAACATTAAAACTATATCAATGGCTTACCTTGGCGAGCGCGGGGTCGAAGTACTGATGGAGGAGGTCCTTCATGCGCGGCGTGAGCGGCTCCTTAAGCAGCTTGAGCGTCTTCTCCACGTCGTACCCCACCTTGCACCGCACCGCCTCCGGCACGGGCCGCGCGAACTCCACTCGGTGAATCACCGGGTTACCCTCGTCGTTCAGGTCCTCGGATTTCAACGACTGCCAGGGGAAAGATGCAAGGTACGCGAGGAAAGGAAACGGATGAGAAAAAAACAGTCTCAGGTAACAAGCTCAGAGCGCCAAGGCTCGCACCTCTAGCAAAGGAGACGTACCAACGCTAGTGAACAACGGGGACTTGTACGGTAGGTTAAAATTAGCTAGCTGAAGCACGGTTTCAAAATCACACCTGCACGGCGGAGAAGCACTCGATGAGCATGGAGCGCAGGTCGCGCAGGCCGCCGTAGAGCGCGTGCATCTTGCCCTCGGGCACGTACACCTCCGCCAAGCGCAGCCCCGCCTGCGCCGTCACGAACGTGTAGAGCGTGTCGATGCCCCAGTCGCTCTGCGTGCGCACGCGGTGGTCCGCCACCAGCACCTCCGCCGCGCGCCGCGTCAGCAGCAGCTCCCCGCCCAGCGGCTGCTCGATGTGCGGAAGCACCGAGTTCGGCCAGAGCAGCGCGAAGCCGATCTTAGTGACGAGCCACGTGATCATCGCGTCGGTGGAGGAGCGCGGGAAGTAGTGCCGCACGATGTCGAAGTCGAGATCAGCTTGCTTCTCGGCTTTGGAGATCCACTCGCCGGAAAAGGAGGTGATATCGGCGTCGTAGAAGTGGAGCCGCTCAAACTCGCGATGCTCGACGAAGAATTGGAGCGCCGTGTTCATGCCGTCGCCCTTGCCGCCACGCAGATTCATGCCTATCCGGCGCTGCAGGCGCAGGATAACGCGCTTTCCTGTGCGCTTCTCGATGCCTGCTGCGGCTGTCTCGATAGCGTGCCATGTCTCGCCCTTGGAGAATCCCACGCCGAGAACGGCGGATACCGACGGGTGCGACGCTGCGATTTCAACGTTGCGAACAGCAACGGTGACGTCTTCCTCCTTGAACGGGAAGCAAACCAGGGAGGCCATCCTAGAGAGCGGCTTGGTTTGGCGGTAACGAAGACTGGCCCTTACGAATGGCTATTGTAGCGCTCCCTGATAGTCTTCAAAGGCTGCTGCTGGGAATTAGTGAAGACTGGAGAAGTGTTTGAAGGATTTGGAAAACTGGAGTTCTGACACTTCTGGTGTGGCTGCCTTCAATAAATACTCGAACCGCACGACCAGGGGGGGGAGATGGAGGTGGAGGAGGGAGGTTGAAGCGGAAAGGAGTGTGGCGGGGATGAGGGGATGAGGGTGAGGCGCGGGGCGGAGCAACCAGAAGAGCAGGGGGGGAAGGTTTGTTTCCCGCGCGCGCCTGGTAAAGATTCAACCTTCCAGAAGCTCAGAGGTCCTTGCCTTGGCGGCCGGCGAATGGCGTCCACCCGCCACCAAGGAGAACCGAGTCTGGTCGACGACGCGACCGGGAAGCTGTTAGCACGAGTGTACACGTGGCGGGAGTTAAGTCGCTCTGGCAGGGCCAGTAAACAGCCAGTCAAGTTTGATAGAGATCTACGGGCAGCACAAATATAAGAGATGTGTGAGGAAATAGTTTTTGTACCCGTAAAACCAGTTATAGAACATCACTGTATCTTGGTGATTCTACTTAATGAGGCACACGATGAAGCAGCTGGGCAGGAAGTAGATCATCGCATCGATCTTCCAACAAACAGCCTTACCGAGCTGTCAACACGTAACTCGCTGAAATTCCACTTGGACCCGAGGTTCCAGACAGGGGTATCCATAAGCATGCACATGATTCGTCGGAATTGCCACCTGGAGGCTTCTTAGGCCCCATCATCCACTCACAGAGCTGGCTGACAAGTTCAGCTAAGAGCCACAAGATGGATGGAATCGCGAGTCGCCAACACGTTTTCTCAGCCGTTGGATGAACATGTCAACATTGTTAGGCGATCGAACGCTTCTGCACGACGGTGGGCCCAGGTTCCAGGAGGACTGGCGAATAGAATGATTCACACAGCCTCGGACAAGATCGGATACCCAGATTCCGGCAAGACTTAAAGCCAGCAACTAAAATAGTGACCCCCCCCTTCTAGTTGGGTCCACTTGAAAGTTGAAGTGCTTTTCTTTATTTTTTTTTCAGGCGCATTATGATGCTGATCGAGTTTCCAAACTTCAACTCAAACAAAATCGTCGCAAGCATGTGCAAATGCGTGGCTCAAAACATTGCGATGCGCAAGTCTCATTCATATCCAGTGCCAAATTCGGATTGTGAAGCACGTCCAACTCATGCAAAGCAAGCCCAATGCACGCAAAGCAAATGCCTTAGACATGGGCCTGCAAGGGAGGCGATAACAACATGGGAAAAACAAGAAGCGAAAAAAACAGAGAATTTCAGGGCACGAGAGAAGAGACACTTAGTGCAGCAGAAACGAGGACGCGGGAAGAGAGATGCGCGAGCAAGATCTGCGGAATTGTAGGGAGATGGGAGGGGCATGGGGGAGGGTCAGATGAGGTGGAGCGAGGGCGACGGAAAGGGAGGGGAGAGAGCAAGGGAGACGGATAGGGAGGGAAGAGAGCGAGGGCAATGGAAAGGGAGGGGAGAACGCGAGGGCGACGGGAACAGAGGGGAGAGAGCACGGGCGACGGAAATGGAGGGGAGAGACCAAGGGAACGGGAACAAGGACCTGAAGGGATCGACGGGAGGGGAGGTAAATTTGTACGAAATTAGGGTCCCTATTAATATAATAAGAAAACATAGAAGAACTAGTTGGCTGCATAAGTATTTAGCGTCAAGTGATTAACCCCGCCCCGCCAGCAGCTAAAAATATCGTCACTTAATACTTTGACTTCAGGAAAGGGGGATAGCAAGGTCGATATTACTACGAGACGGCAGAGAATTTCGCGAGGCGACGGGAGAGAGCGGGGGCGACGGGAGAGAGCGTGGGCGACGGGACAGAGCGAGGGCGACGTGAGAGATAGAGGGCGACGGGAGAGAGGGCGACGGGAGAGAGGGCGACGGGACAGAGCGAAGAAGAGAGCGAGGGCAATGGGAGAGAGGGCGATGGGAGAGAGGGCGACGGGACAGAGCGAAGGAGAGAGTGCTGGCGATGGGAGAGAGGGCGATGGGAGAGAGGGCGACGGGAAGGGAGCGGAGAGAGAGAGCGCGATGGGAAGGGAGGAGGGAGAGAAAGGGCGACGGGAAGGGAGGGGAGAGAGAGAGCGCGATGGGAAGGGAGGCGACGGGAAGGGCGCGGGTAGAGAGAGCGCGACGGGAAGAGAGGGGCGAGAGAGAGGGCGACGAGAAGGGCGCGGAGAGAGAGAGAGCGCGACGGGAAGGGAGGGGCGAGAGAGAGGGCGGCAGGACAGGAGGGGAGAGCGTGTAAGCGATGGGACGAAATGGGAAAAACGGGGTGGGCGACGAGAGAGTGTATCGAGGCAAGCGCGAATACGAAGGGGTGGGTGATGGGCGGGGGGGACGGAATAAGGCCGGCGCGAGGGCAATCCCTCGCGAATGTGAAGGTGATGAGCTGAGCGACGAAAGGGCGTTTCGGCGGCGAGCGCGTTCAACCGAATAATCTCGAGGCAAGTGTCGCTACGCGGCACGTAAGATCCCTCGCCACTAGAAGGATGAGGATTAAATTTATAAAAATGGTAGTTGCCTAGGCAAAAATGCCTACGTTTTCAGCTATTCTAAGCTTGGCTAAACTAGAGACTAGAGCGGAAAGAAGTAGTGGAACCCAGGTCCAGCTTGAAGTTGGAGTTGGGCCCAACGATCGCAATAATCGCCGTGCAGCCGTCGTGCGAGTGCATCATGTTGAAGGCGACTCCTTGTGTAAGGCCCAAAATTTTCGTTTTTGGCGGGAGCCAATCAAATGGCTTCGATCTGCACACAAGAAATGTTTGAAACAGTGCTTTGCAAACCCACTCCGGAAGACCCTTTCAAGCTGGGACGGGGTCCACTATTCTATATTTTGGTTTTAAACCGTTGTTTGTGTGCCGATCAACCATCTAAACCACTCTCCCAGTACTAGAAAACTGGATTGTCAGAATATGTAACCAGAACTAGGACATCTCAGTTCTAAATGAATGCCTTCATTTGCAATCAGCTTAACAGGAAAAATTGTATACCGTGCAATGACTAGAGTTCTGCAGAATTGACTCGTTGGCCATAGAAGGTGAAAGTGCTGTGATCGTCTCCAACAAATCGCCAGTGCCATGGTTCATACATGATTCCCCTTGTGTTATCAGGTGGAAAGGACAACTCAAAGTGAAACCTGCACAAAAGGGATGGCACATCAAAGGTCTGAGCTGATGGATTCGACAATCCAAAACAGCAAGAAGGCAACACAACTCACCTGTTGGCATTCTTTTGGAGCCAATAAAACGCTTCGGTGTTTTCAAAATCTGCAGAGGCAAAACAAAGAGGCAATATATCAATCAACTTCAGTCCTCGTTGGGATCCCACGAATCACGTTTATACATCAGACACCACCTTGCACCATCACACAACATATTGCACCATCATACATCCTCTCAGCTAACAACAAGCTCCAATCGTACCAAACTCTAGATGTGTGGCAGGCGAGTTGGCATCCCCAATGTCGAGTGCATAGCCCGTGTGATGCTCACTGAAGCCCGGTGGGGCCGACACCTGTGAGTGGGGGGGCAGTGGCAGGTGGAGTACCAGCATAGTAGGTTTGGAGCAAGGGGTTGAAACAAGGGGTTGTAACAGGATTGTGGTGAGCAGGTTGTAACAGGATTGTGGTGACCAGTTGGACCAAAGGGTTGTAACCGCAGGTTGCAGATTCCCTCAAACCCGAACCAGCCCACCTCACACATGGGTAACCTACCCAACTCGCACACACACACGTCAACCCACATCCCCTCGTGGCACCTTGGCTCGCTGCCTGATGTTCTGGTTGCGCGCTGCCTTCACTCCGTAGAACACCGACTGCTGGTCCCGCACTGACCGGAACCTGGGGGATGCAGAGGGGACAGGGGGGAGGTGGAAAGAAGTGGAATCAGCGAGGGTACTGTCTGGGAGTTGCTTTCACTCGTAGAAAAAACAGCTGGTGACTGGAACCTGGGAGATGCAGGGTGGGTGAGGGCGGGAGAGGGGACTGACCAGGACGTTGAGAAGCAGGGCGAGAGAGTGGGAGAGGGAGGAAGAAGTTGAAGGTTGATGGAGGGCGTTTGAGATGCGACATGGGAGTTGGGAGGAAGGGAAACGATGGGGAGGGTTGTCGTGCACACTGGCACCGGGCAAGAGGGTTGAGAGGAACAGAGATGGAGGGGCCTACCCAGCGAGGGGCGTGAAAGGAGATGACAAGTGGGAGGGACATGAGTGGAGAGGACGAGTGGGAGGGACATGAGTGGAGAGGACGAGTGGGAGGGACATGAGTGGAGAGGACGAGTGGGAGGGACATGAGTGGAGAGGACGAGTGGGAGGGACATGAGTGGAGAGGACGAGTGGGAGGGACATGAGTGGAGAGGACGAGTGGGAGGGACATGAGTGGAGAGGACGAGTGGGAGGGACATGAGTGGAGAGGACGAGTGGGAGGGACATGAGTGGAGAGGACGAGTGGGAGGGACATGAGTGGAGAGGACGAGTGGGAGGGACATGAGTGGAGAGGACGAGTGGGAGGGACATGAGTGGAGAGGACGAGTGGGAGGGACATGAGTGGAGAGAACGAGTGGGAGCGCTCACCCGGAGAGGGGCGTGAGGAAGATGCCATCCCGCCTGGCCGCGTCCTGCATTGACAGGAACGAGCGCGCTGCTGCTGTGCGCAGCTGCACACTGGAGGGCGGAGGAAGCGACAGAGAGAGGGGGAAAGGTGAGTTGAGCTGTAAGGCGCGTGGGGAAGGGATCATGCTGAGACAATGCTGCCGTGCACAAGTGAGGGACGGGTGGAGGAGCGGGGAGCGCAGAGAAAGGAGGGACAGCAAACGAGGAAGAAAGGCATTCAACGTGGGAAACCGGGGGGGATGATGAGATTGGGGAGGGGCGCGGAATGAGTGATGGCAACATGGACACACACATGACAAGTTGACGCGGAATGCACCTGTGGACAGCAGCCCACTCACCTGCCATCGCCCAGCACGGGGCGCAGGTCGCTGTGAGGCGCTTCCTCCACCGCGTAGTGGCCCAGCACCTGGGGAACGAGGGGGGTGACAGGAAGAATTGCAGAGAGGGAGGGCCAGAGGAAAACATATTTCTTGAGGCGCCTACTCCACCGGATAGTGGCTTGGCACATGCAGAGAGGGGAACAGGAGGAATTGCCCCGGGGGGAGTGAGTCAAGGAGAAGGGTGAGAGTGAGAGAGGGGTGCGTGAGGAAAAAGCGAGGATGAGGAAGCGGGGTGAGGGTGAGGACGAGTGTTGAGAGTGAAAGTGAGTGAGTAAGAGCAGAGAGGTAGGAAAAGCGAAAGCAGTGCAGAGGGGACAGAAAGATAGGGATGTATGAGTGTGAGGGATTCGAGAAATGTCTGGGGTGCATGAGAAACGTGTGGGGTGTGTGTTGGGTGAATGCACATGCGCGGGCAGCGGACAGACCTGATCCTTGACTGGCAGACTGGCCGGTGCCACCATCGCTGAATGGGGGAGATAGGGACGGGGAGTGACAGGGCAGGGAGAGGCAGGAGGAGGAGAGGTAGGGGAAGGAGAAGCAGGGGGGAGAGAGAGGTTTGAAACCAGGAAACGAGAACGGGAGGGCAATGTCGAGGGTGCAATAAAAAGAGATGGGAGGAGGGCACGTGGGAAATAACGGACGACCAAGGCAGAAACTGATGGAGCAGATTGCAGAGGTGAGGTGCGGATGCAGGAAGAATGCAGGGAAGATTGGGGGAGTATGGAGGGGGCCTTTGATGCCAACGCACGCAAAGGAGTGTTTGGTTAGTCCGAATGACAATCAGAGGCAATCTGGACAAGTTTGACCGAACCTGTGGCCGAAGCAGGCAGGGAATGTTTTGTTGGGCCGAACCTGAGACGGAGGCAGCAGGCGGAGCGGGAAGCGACTTGTGCCGTGCGAAGGCCGCGCCAGCAGCGACGACGCACGCGGCGACGAAGGTGGTCGCAGAGGCAACGGACAGGGGGAACGACGACTCGCCGCCATTTGGAGTGAGCGTTCGCCGCTGGGCTCGCCTAATTGGCTGGGTTGTGTTCGCGCGCGAAGCTCCCTCCGCTCCCAACCAACCCGCTGAAGCTTCCCCTGCCCCCCCTGCCGCGCCGAGCTTGATCCGCGGGAGGCAGTCTCCGCTGGGCGCAAGCACGCGCGCAAGCATCTCCGCCCGCTCCGCCGCCACGTTGTCCCCCGCGCCCTTGTCCTCTATGAAGCGCCGCCGTGCTTGCGTCGCGGGGGTAACGGCGCTGCCAGCGGAGAAATCGCCGGGAATTGGGACGCCTTCGTGAACATCAATAGTCTGGTTAGCGCTCCCGTTCACATGAGTCCTTTCTCCCCCGTCAGTGAGATATGCGCCTGACGGGGCACCGTCCGTCATAGTCACACTCCCATTATCCGTGAGATCCGCTGCGCCGATACCTGCTCTGCTTGCGTTGGCCAATGGCCGTTGAGCTCGCACACCCGCGTCCCCAATAAAAGGCTCTCTAGCATAAGTTTGGTAATCGACAAGGCCTCCAGTTTCGTTGTCTTTTCCATGCCGTCCTAGCGCGCTTGCTCGAGAGTGTGATTCTAACGAGGATTTTGCGCTACGATAAAAGAACGCGTGATCGCGCAAGCCATTACCCTCCCCGTTTGCCGACGCGCGCACCGGGATACGAAAATCGGAAACCGGAGCACGAGGGACAAGGGCTACGACACCAGGCTTATCAACACATGATCGTTTGACAGATGGTAACGGAACGCAATTTCCTCCCCGATGTCTTTCACTCAATAGTCGCTTCCCAAGAATCGTTCCGGTTAGGCTTTTCACGGCACTGTACGCCAGTTCCATGGGCCCCAGCGGCTACGTGCTGCTGAAGCTGAAGAGTCAAGGGTTCGCCTACTAATCACGCTCCTGCCTAGCAACACGTAGGTCAATGGCATGCGTGAGTTATGCAGAATAAGAGGGTAGATGGAGTAGACTAGGTTGAGGTGGTGGGGATCATGGTGGTTCATCATGATTATGATCATTAGCTGAGGAAATGGCGGGAAACCTAGGGATTGGTAAAAGCAACTGTATACACCTATTGTGCTGAGCTGCTTCTTACAAATTGTTCGATATGTGGATGTTTGATTTTGTAGCATTGACGAATGACGTCTTTACGAAGATGAACTGTTCATCGGTGTGACACCACAGGCATCAAGACCAGATTGTGTGGTCTGCGTCACGACTCGCTCAAATCGAGCCATGCGAAGGGGAGGGAAAGCTTCAGATTGGCCAGCTTGGTATAAACCACCAGCCCGAACCAGCAATCATCTCCCTCGTTTGTGGAGTGATCGAACGGCAAACAGGAGATGTCTGGAATGTGCATCGAGTGGTCGACGACCATATGGTCAGGTTCGGTCCGACTGCCAAACCTACCCGAAGGCACCGAATGTTCTGTTGGGCTCCCAATCCAAGCTCTGTGCTCCCCCCACCACGTCACACAGGTTCCCCTTCCCCATCCATTGCCTGATTCTGTCTCCTGAGATGCTGGATTCTGACTGGCTGGATTCGCATGCCTCCCTCGACCGAACTGGACCAGCCTGCGTGAACGAGTTTGGTTCGTTTGGGCGGCGACTCCAAGGTCGCCTCGCCTCGCCTCGCCTCTCCTCGCCTCCACTCTCAGCTCTTGTTCTCCCTCTCCAATTCCAAAGCAGTTTCAGAGCATCTAAATCCCTTGGCTGCGCTTTAGAAGGCGTGTCTTTGCAGTCAGGCGCAGGAAAGCCGCGGTGGCCTCCTAGATTTGTTTCACGCACAGATCCCCTGTGCTTTTTTCCCAGCCAGCCATGGCTGGATTCGAGGACTTTTGCGCGTCGCTCGGGCTCTCCGTGGGAATCGGAAAGTTCCTCGTGTGCTATCTGATCAGCATCCCCTGCTGCTTCCTTCAGCGCCTCCTCCCAGCCGGCACCGTCCGCCATATCTGGGCCACGCTCTCGGGTCTCGTGCTGACGTACATTGCGTTCGGATATGAGTCGCTGGGGCATTGCGTGGTGGCGTGCGTGGTGGCGTACGGATCCATGCTCGTGTACCGAAAGAAATGCGGAGTGATCACCTTCTTTACCACCTTCATCTACCTCATCGGCTGGTCAGTCCAACTCCCAGCACCTGCTTCCGTTGCTCGACTTAGCTCCGGTCCTGCTTCATGCTCTGAGAAACATAAAATGAGCTGGTTTGCACGATCAACTCGTCGTTCTAGGATTCGGGAGTAGTCGGGATCTGATATCAATGCGTGTGTTTGCTTGATCGTGTGCAGCCATGTGTATTACATGAGCGGCGATTCGTGGCGGCAAGGAAACATCGACTTCACTGGTGAGCTTCCGTGCATTTTCGTTCGTACCAATGCTGCATTTTCCAATCATGGATTGCTGCATTATTCATTGACCGGTCTCTCCATTTCCAGTTACATGATCGCTGGATTCGCTATGGATTGAACTCGATACGTACCCAGACGGCTAAGATTCACGTTGATTCTAAACCCTTATATTGTACCAAGCCCAGACAAATAGATAAATGAAATGTCAGCTCGTCCCCTCTTCTGCCTTTGTAAAGGTACATTCCCACCAGCTGATACATCGCCAGCTCATTTCCTGTCCGAATTCCTGCCTCCATTCCCCGCATTGCCGTGCGAGCAGGCGCGATGATGATCCTGGTGCTCAAGGTCACGTCCGTCGCCTACGACTACCAGGACGGCGGCAAGCCGCGCAAGCCGGACGACGCCAAGACGGCGGCGATCAGCGACGCGCCGAAGCCGATCGCGGCGATGCCGAGTCTGCTGCAGTTCCTGGGCTACACCTTCTGCTGCGGGCTGCACTTCGCCGGTCCCTTTTACGACTTCTCCGCCTACAACGACTGGATCGACCGCAAGGGGGTCAGTGCTGTGCTCTTCCGTGCTCTACCGTGCCCTACTGCGCCCTGCTCACGCTCGTGCAATCGTGTTTGACTCCTCGGCAACACTCCCAGAATTCTCTCAACCTCTCTCCACCGTAGAAAAAACAGCGTTCCAAAACCCGCAGCCCTTCTCCGCCTCCTCCCCCATCTCCCCTCTCTCCTTCCCCCTCCGCCAGATCTGGGCGCCTGGCACGCGCACGGCGCCCGCGCTGGTGCCGTTCCTGCGCGCGTTCGTGCAGGGTATCGTGGCGGCCGTGATCCAGCTCAAGCTCGCGTCCATCCTCGATATAGACATCCTCAAGACGCCCAAGGTGTACTTCGCCATGCCGTACTGGCGGCGGTTCCTGTTCATCTACCACGCGTGCGAGGTCACCCGCTGGAAATACTACTTCATCTGGTCCATTTCCGAATCCGCCATGATCGCCGCTGGGTTGGGCTTCAGCGGGTGGGTGCGCAAGATGGGCAAGGGGGACGAGGGGGGGAAGCAGAACGGAGGAAAGGTGGAGGGGGAGGGGAAGGAGAAGCACGTGGGCGGGAGCTTCACGGAGGTGGCGTCGTGGAAGCGCGCGCAGAACTGCCACATTCTGGGCGTGGAGCTCGCCACCAGCACGGCCACGCTCGCCACCAACTGGAACATCTCCGTCGGCCTCTGGCTGCGCACCTGTGAGTCAAACGAGGCCTCAGGCTGCGCAGCTGTCAGTCCGCCCGCCCGCGTGCTTGAACTGCTACTGCCTGCGTACTTATATTCCCCTTGCCCGTTGCCTGGGCGTGACCTATTTCTCTCTTTCCTCGTCCTCGCCCATTGCCTGTCTTGGCCCAATCCCCCTCTTATCCTCTCCCCTCCTTCCTCTTCCCCTTGTCTCCCCACTCCCCCCCCACTTCCCCCACCCCCCCCCCACTCCCGAACCTCCCCCCCCTCGCCCCCCCGCTTCACCTTTTCCTCGCTGGCCTGCGCGCGCAGATGTGTACGAGCGGCTGGTGCCGGTTGGCGGGAAGCCCGCGTTCGTGCATCTGCTGCTCACGCAGATCGTCAGCGCGCTCTGGCATGTGAGTTGAGGGTTTCGGGTTTTAGGTCCTGAGAAGTGAGTTGAGGGCTTTGGGGCTAAGCTTTCGCATGTGAGTGACGAGGAATGGATTGAATACAAGTAACGAGAGTTTTCACAAGCAATAAACAGGCGCTATGGTTTCACTAGGAATTAAAGCATGGAAACAGCAATGGGAGGACCAAGAAAAGGCAGCCCTTGATGGCATGGCACGCAGATTCCGTGTGAAAGGCCATGGAACGATACATCTTGATGCACCTCAAGAAGCCTGCTTTAAGTCGACTCAACACACGTCTCAGGCTGGGGGGCAACATTCTAGTCCCTGTGAAATCTCGAGAATTTGAGTTCGAGCCACCATCAGTTCCGTAGTGCTTGGAGGTAGTGCCATCATCTTGCTGTAGTGATCCAGTATACCTTGCTGCCCAGCCGTTGGTAAACCCCAAACCCTGGCTCGTCTTCCCCCCACGGTGTCCCTCCCCACCAGGGTCTGTACCCCGGCTACCTGCTCTTCTTCGTTGGCGTGGCTCTTGAGATCGCCGGCTCACGAGGTACGCTGGTGGTGCACCACACCATCATCTCCCCCCTCCCTCACCCAGTAGTCCATTTGGTCTTCTTATCTCTGCCTTTCCACTACCATATCCCTCATGCCCTAACTGATACCCGATCTTGCTTCTCATCCCACTGAACCATCAATTACCCTCTTCGTAAAAGTCGTCTTCTGTTTCACTCTTCCGCTGAACTCCCTTGTTCCCCCTCTCCCCTCATCCCTCCTCCTTTTGCCCCCCCGCAGTGATCTACAAGTATGAGCGTGCCATCCCCCCCCAAGCGACTTTCCTGAAGGGGTTGGCCACCGTGCTGCATGCCATTTACGCGTGCTTCTGCAACAACTACGTCGCCATTGGCTTCATTGTGAGTCGCCATTGCTGGAATGGTTGCTGAGACGTGGTTGCAATTGCACGCTGGGATGGGATGATAGCAATTGCGAGTCACTGTCGGTTTCTCAGCGGATCGTGGGTGCAATAGTGAGGCGTGGCGTGGTATACACGGCTGCCCCCTCCCCCTTGCACCTACACAGCATACAAGGGTCTGCTCTCTCCGGGCAGCATTGTCTTCCTTACAACCCCCTTTCCCACTCACTCTTTCTTCCTCCTCCCCCTCTCTCTGGTCTCCCAGGTGCTGACAGCGCAGGAGACCATCACAGCGTACAAGGGGCTGCTCTATCTGGGCAACATTGTGCCGCTTGCCATTGTCATCCTCGGTAACTTCCTCCCCTCGCCGCGGCCCTCTCGCCGCGCCAAGACTGAGTAGACAGACATATTTTTGGAGCTGCCAGATGGATCTCTCCCATCTCATGGAAAGTTTTTTTTGGGGGTGAAATTATTTGCTGCGAAGTGCAGCGTAGCTGACAAAACACGAGTTAGGCATGTATGTGTGTGGTTCTCCCTCTCTCTTGGAGGCCTGTATTTTTGCAAGTAGCTGGTAATGGAATGCTAGGTACAATACATTCTGAAATTTGAGATGCACCACAAATTCTGTACGTTCACAAAAGTTGCTAACTCAATTCACCAGCTATAACCGCTCTCTACTCCACGACAATCACATTCCGTATTCACGAGCCTCGAGGGCTCGATATCAATCAATCGAGAAGAAAGGCCAAAAATCGGACGGCGAGAAATGGTTTACAAACTGCAAAATCACAGATCTGGTCAGCATTCATGGAGGAAATCGATGGTGATTCGAGGGTGCCTGTTGCCACGTCACGGGATTCCTTCGCGCATTCATTGGCTTGAGTCAGAATTCAAGACACTTCGCAGAATCATTCGCCACGGAAGAGGTGGTACCAACTTTCGCCAGTCTCACTTTTCGCCACTCGGATTTTCACCCAAATTCTGCAGCCAAACCACCTCACGACAACAAGAGCTTGACAGAAGTTGTTCACTCCTGCTAGGGAGAGCAGGAAGCAATCCAATGTCATTCACAACGGCTCTCTTCCACGGGTTGGGTTTGGTGGCCTCTCATTGGCCAGCACCGACAGTTCGAATTTGAGCGATACGGCGACATATCTTGACCTGGCGGGATGATGGATCCACCTGATAGATTTATGAATCGACGGTTGAAAACCATAAGCTTTTCGTTTGTTCCTTCTTGGCCTTGATTCCCGCCTCCGTTAACGGACCATTTCTGGGGGATATATCTGGATTCTCTTTTCCGGTGCAGCCGCTTGACGGCGATTGCGACACGTGACAAAGTGCAGCAAACGGAGGTTTCCAATCTACCTGAACCGCACAATGATGTGACACGTTGGAACGTCTCCGTACGGTTGAGATTGAATCTAGTCCCAGCCTTCTCAGAGATTATCATTTTGAAACCGTTAGATTTACTCTATGAGAAACCACCGTCATTCCGAGGGGGTAGTGAGCCTCAATCCGTGACCCCCTCGCCTGAGTCTTGCCCGTTCTCAGCCATTTTCGACTCGATTTCTCTCCTACATGGCTCATTCTGCTCGTTTCTGCTACCTGAGAGCATTCTCCTCCGTCTTGCTAGCGAAGCTCTTCCATTTTGATTTCCATTCGCCAGAATTCTCCGCTCACATCGAAATCGTGTCTCCTTTGACATTGGGATTTTCGCGAATCAGCAGCCAAATCCGCCACGCTGCTCTCAGTTCGTTGTGCAGTTCCAGCCTCTGATTTTCGGTGAGTACCTCATAGCTGATTCGTAATTTCTTGCAGATTTTCGCTAGTTTTTCACATGGTCGATTAATTTAAGCAGATTGCAATTATTTCGCGTAGCAGGTTTTCGTCACATTCACAGACCATTTGAACTCGACTTCGACGTGCTTCAGCTATTCTTACATTGTCGCCAAGCTGCCGTGAAGTCGTCACCCAAGATTCAGCGATTTCTGGTGAGCGTCTTACCTTTCGCCGTTTTCAGTCCGCTTCTCATCGTTGTAGTAATATCCGCAGCCTATTCTCACCTCGTTTTCAATCGACTGATCCTCATTTTTCCTGCTAATTTGCAGGTTCTTCTCACGCTGTCTCCCCAAGCAAACGGGTGCCGACTGCTTGCTATGTGATTAGGCGTCGCCAGTTTGCGGTTTCGCGTTTTTTGGTGATGTTTTTGTCGTCCATGCGTCGTCGCACGGCGAAGTCGTCGTCTGCAATTCGTCGCATGGCGAAATCTTTATCCGCGGATCGTGGCATGGAGAAATGGTCGAGGCATCAGCTCTCTCTGGGTCCTTCTTCAACCGCCAGCTAAGTGCCTTCTTCAACCCTCGCACTCTGTTGCTTTTTGTGCGTGCACCATTCATCACACTCCCTTTATCACTGCTCTTTGTCACACCCATGAGACCTCCCTCCCCCAAGGTAGCAGGTATATTTTTCTTGGTATAGCCTCAGGTATTTGTTCTAGTTTGGTTCAGCTGGTATGAGGTCTCTTGGGTGTGCCACTGCAGCAGTCCATTCATGCACGCACATTCTTGCACTTTCTGCACTCGTTGCTCTCTCTTCAGTCCACTCGTACTTGCTCCTTTCCTCAATGCTCTCCCCACTCCTCTGCCCCCCCTTCACTTCCCCGTTCCCACCCCCCTCCTCCTTCCTATCTCTGTCTCGATCTGCCACCTCTCATCCCACCAGTTCGCTCACTCGGGAGTGGCAGTGGCGGGGGACATGGAGCGCAGAGGCAGCAGCTGCTCTCCACCCAACCCACCCACAGCTAAGTACCCCGCCCTTGCTCTCTTCTCCCAACCCTCGCAATCTGCTGCGTTTCAAGTCATGCTTGCACCATTCATCACACTCCCTTCTTCACTGCTCTCTGTCCCACCCATGAGACCTCCCTCCCCCAAGGTAATAGGTATCTTTTTTCTTGGTACAGCCTTAGGTATTTGTTTTTGTTAGGTTCAGCTGGTACGAGGTCTCTTGGGTGTGCCACTGCAGCAGTCCATTCATCCACACATCATGCTTGCGCTTTCTTCACTCTTCACTGTCACTTGTCTTGGCTTCTTTCCTCACTGCTCTCCCCACTCCTCTGCGCCCCCTTCACTTCCCCGTTTTCTTCCCCCGCTCCTCCCTTCCTATTTCTGTCCCAACCTGCCCCCTCTCGTCCCAACAGGTCGCTCACACGGGAGTGGCAGTGGCGGGGGAAATGGAGTGCACAGGCAGCAGCTGCTCTCCACCCAACCCACCCACAGCTAAGTACCCCTCCCTTCCTCACTTCTCCCAACTTTCTTACGCTGTTGCTTTTCATGTCATGCTTGCACCATGCATCACACTCCCTTTATCACTGCTCTATGTCTCACCCATGAGACCTCCCTCCCCCAAGGTAGCAGAGCAGGTATATTTTTTCTTTGTACAGCCTCAGGTATTGGTTCTAGTTTGGTTCAGCTGTACGAGGTCTCTTGGGTGTGCCACTGCAGCAGTCCATTCATGCACACATCATGCTTGTGCTTGCTGCACTCTTCACTTTCACTTGTCCTGGCTTCCTTCCTCACTGCTCTCCCCACTCCTCTGCGCCCCCTTCACTTCCCCATTTTCTCCCCCCCCTCCTCCCTTCCTCTCTCTGTCCCGACCTGCCACCTCTCGTCCCAGCAGGTCGCTCACACGGGAGTGGCAGTGGCGGGGGACATGGAGTGCACAGGCAGCAGCTGCTCTCCACCCAACCCACCCACAGCTAAGTACCCCGCCCTTCCTCTCTTCTCCCAACTTCTTACTCTGTTGCTTTCATGTCATGCTTGCACCATGCATCACACTCCCTCTATCACCGCTCTTTGTCACACCCATGAGACCTCCCCCCCCCAAGGTAGCAGGTATACATTTTCTTGGTACAGCCTCAGGTATTCGTTTTAGTTTGGTTCAGCTGTTACGAGATCTCTTGGGTGTGCCACTGCAGCAGTCCATTCATGCTCACATCATGCTTGCGCTTTCTGCACTCTTCACTTTCACTTGTCTTGGCTTCTTTCCTCACTGCTGTCCCCACTCCTCTGCGCCCCCTTCACTTCCCCGTTTTCTCCCCCCTTCCTCCCTTCCTCTCTCTGTCCTAACCCGCCCCCTCCCGTCCCAGCAGGTCGATCACACGGGAGTGGCAGTGGTGGGAGGGGAGGGGGGCAGCACTCCACTCGGCTGGGATGGGATGGGAGAGTATCGGGACTGGGTCGTCTGGAACAAGGTGAGCCTCTTGTTCTTCTCCCCATGCTGACTTCCCGTTTCTGCTCCCTTGCTTCCTTGTAGCTTGTGCCTACTCTTCTCCCCATTCTCACTGCTGTCCCTTGATCCCCTGCCTACCCCTGCCTTGCTCCCTCCCTCCCAGTACATTGAAGGCCGTAGCAGGGCAGCACGGGGCAGCAGCAGGGCAGCAGCGGAGGGGAGGGGAGGGGCAGCGGCAGCAGCAGGGGAAGCAGAGTAGCAGATCGGGAGTGGCAGTGGCGGCTGACATGGAGTGCACAGGCAGCAGCTGCTCTCCACCCAACCCACCCACAGCTAAGTACTCCGCCCTTCCTCTCCTCTCCCAACCCTCAAACTGTGTTGCTTTGCTTGTCATGCTTGCACCGTGCATTACACTCCCTTTTTCACTGCTCTTTGTCACACCCATTAGACCTCCCTCCCCCAAGGTAGTAGGTATATTTTTTCTTGGTACAGCCTCAGGTATTTGTTTTGGTTCAGCTGGTACGAGGTCTTTTGGGTGTGCCACTGAAGCAGTCCATTCATGCACGCACATTCTTGCACTTTCTGCACTTGTTGCTCTCTCTTCAGTCCACTTGTACTTGATGCTTTCCTCATTGCTCTCCCCTCTCGTCTGCCCCCCTTCACGTCCCCGTTTGCTTTCCCCATTACTCCCTTGCTCTCTCTGTCCCGATCTGCCCCCTCTCATCTCAGCAGGTCGCTCACACGGGTGTGGCAGTGGCGGGGGGAACATGGAGTGCACAGGCAGCAGCTGCTTTCCCACCCACAGCTAAGTACCCCGCCCTTGCTCTCTTCTCCCAACGTTCTCACTTTGCTGTTTTTCATGCCGTTCTTGCACCATTCATAACACTCCCTTTTTCACTGCTCTATGTCACACCCATTAGACCTCCCTCCCCCAAGGTAGCAGGTATATTTTTTCTTGCTACAGCCTCAGGTATTCGTTTTAGTTTGGTTCAGCTGGTACGAGGTCTCTTGGGTGTGCCACTGCAGCAGTCCATTCATGCTCACATCATGCTTGCGCTTTCTGCACTCTTCACTTTCACTTGTGTTGGCTTCTTTCCTCACTGCTCTCCCCACTCCTCTGCGCCCCCTTCACTTCCCCGTTTTCTTCCCCCCTCCTCCCTTCCTCTCTCT